GTTTACATGTATGGACTACAGCAAAATATGTATTTAAAAGACTCATGAAATTAAATGTGTGTATTAAAAAGAAAACCTTAAAATCAATCATCAGAGTATTCATTTCGAGGATTAGGAAGAAAACTCAAAATGTGGATGCAAAAAATAAAAGAAATTGAGAAAACAAAATAAGCATACAACGAAGAGAAGCACGAATGCAAAAAGTTTGTTTTTTGAAAATGAACTAAGGGAACTGAGAAATGCTAGTCCCGGCTCGGCGCCTATGGCTCAACCGGCTAAGGCGCCAGCCACATACACCTGAGCTGGTGGGTTCGAATCCAGCCCGGACCCGCCAAACAACAATGACAGCTGCAACCAAAAAATAGCCGGGCGTTGTGGCGGGCGCCCGTAGTCCCAGCTACTTGGGAGGTGGAGGCAGGAGACTCGCTTGAGCCCAGGAGCTGGAGGTTGCTGTGAGCTGTGATGCCACAGTTCTCTACCCAAGGCAACAGCTTGAGGCTCTGTCTCAGGAAAAAAAAAAGAAAAAGAAAAAAGAAATGTTAGTTCCATTGCAAGACTCTCATTTCTTTTCTTTTCTTTCTTTTTTTTTTTTTTTGAGACAGAGTCTCACTTTATCACCCATGGCAGAGTGGTAGAGTGCCATGGCATCACAGCTCACAGCAACCTCCAGCTCTTGGGCTTAGGTGATTCTCTTGTCTCAGCTTCCTGAGTAGCTGGGACTATAGGGGCCCACCACAATGTCCACCTAAGGACTCTTATTTATTCAATGGAAAATGGTATTTACATACTGGGCACTGATGTGCACATGACTAGTTACATGTCATTGTTTCTAGGGTTTCTCAATGAACATAACCCGTATGTGAATGTGTGTGTGTTTCTCTGGCTGTTCTTATACCCTTCCTTTCTCCCTTCCTATCTCCCTCCCTTCCTTCCCTCCATATCTATCTTTAAAAGTATGAGTTCACACCAATACCTCCAATTCCAGGCCAGCATCACAGGGTTTCATCTAGCCTTCCAACTTCCCATATTTTTCTATGGAAGCTTCTCTAGCATTAAGTGACTTGACCTTCGTTACCTTTGATGCATTTACTTACTCAGCCTGTCTCTATGACAGCATTCTTCTAGCTATGTGGCCAATTCAGCCCCAGCTCTGTTGGCCCTGACTATGGACCTCTGTCTTGGACCCAGCACTACCAAGCATGCTGCTTGAGTCCTTGATCTTGGCCCCACCTCTGGCTCCAAAGAACATGCTGGGTAAGTCTCCAGCTCTGATCTCAGCCCCAGCCCTGGAAAACACATCAGCTGAGTACCCTTCTGAGACCCTGGCCCTGGACCCAGGAAACTTTCCAGTTAAGATCCAGGCATTGACCAAAGGGAAGGGGGATAAATACTGACTATATACAATGGATCAATTAAACAGAGACTGAGACAAGGACTGATATGCAGATGGTGTGTTTGGAAAGGGACTGCAGGAATCTGGACTGCAGACGCAGCAGAGTGAGATGGGGAAGGGAGAGTCAACACGAGTTGCATTATCAAGGTCTAATTGTAGGCAATGAGAACTTACTCGCCCGGGACAGCCTAGGAAGTCTACAGAATGATTTCCAGAATCGAAACCTGGGAGGAAGTGTGGCAGAAGCATTTACACAGCTGTTTCCACCCTTCACTGGAAACAGGTTGTCACCCAGAGTGCCCACTCCCCTACTCTTCTGGGCCTTGGGCAAGTGTGCAGGCCCACTCCTGAGTGAGATGGCACCCACGAGGAGCCTGTGGGCAGAAAGCAAGAAGGGAGGAGACACAGGGGGCCGACGCCGAGAGAGTCCGGGAGTCGAAGCCTGCGGCCAGCGTCTAGAGTGTAATTGAGGTCAGCCGAAAAGGAGGTGAGTCAGCTCGGGGTGACATCTCAGTCCTTACTGCCGTCTGCGAGGGAACAAGTTGGGGCTCATGGATAGAAAACAATCTATGTAAGGATGTGAATTTTTAAAACACTAATATTCAAATCAGAGCCATCAGTCACATAAAAAAATGAGATATTAATTAAATCATATAACATTCAATATTATTGAACAAAACTTATTTTGCTTTGAAATATGACATGATCCCAGAGTGAAGTGGGGTAAAGTTTGGGGAAAACAAATGGATTGAATCTTTTCCTGTGGCCTGGTGTCACTTTGGGGTGGGTCTGCACGTCTTTGGAATTTGAGATTTGTGGTCCAGAGTTTTGCGTGGCCCTGAAGCTGCAGGAAAAGAGGTTAGAATTGGCTGGAGCCCTTTCATGGACTGGTATTGGGAGGTGCCTCTTACCCAGCTGGCTCCTGGGGCTGTGGGTATATGTTTCTTTGAACTTGAATGGAAAACTCGTCTCCAGACAGGTGGCATCTGACTTGGATGTGTTTTCCCAGGTAGCTGGGCCCTGGCTGTCTCTGTGGTTTCCTTCCAGGCACTTTACCTCCCTCCTTGCACCAGCTGGCAAATACAGCCACGTTTTTAAGAGACACAGCGCTGCAGCTGGAGGGACTTGTGAGGCCATCTGCCAGGTCCCCTCACTTCCGACCTGCGACATAGTATGATCTCTGCTTTTGGATGGGGTATCTTAATACCAGAGTGAAAAATTGTCTCACCCTAAGTGGCGATGTAGAACTGAGGTTCTCAACCTGTGGGTTGCGACCCACAGGAACTGTATTAAAGGGCTGCGGCATTGGGAAGGTTGAGAACCACTGATGTAGAGGGTCAGTTTTGGGATCAGAAGCTAAGTCCTCTGCCTTTCCATGTGTACTGAAATTGTGGCATCTCCGCACACGATTAACCACAGGCCCCGCAGTGTTAGTTCAATAGGGTGATGAACCTCCGTAACTGGGTGAGGGGTCTGGTTTGCATGACTCCATATGGTGGGTCCCGCGTTAGAAAGAGGAGCCAGCTAGGCTCGTGAAGTACAGGGCAATCTTGATTTGAAAAGGCTACAAAGAAGAGGCTGTCCCACGCCTTTAAATGGATGCTTGGAAGCTCTTGGGATTGGGCTGAGGGTATAGTGATGGAGATCATCTTAAACATTTGGGGTTGCTGTAACAAAAACCTTAGACTGGGTAATCCCTAAAGAAGAGAAACTCATTGCTCAGAGTTCAGAGGCTGGGCAGGTTACCGTACCAGCAGATTCAGTGTCTGGTGAGGGCCCTTTCCTCATATTTGGTGCCTTGATGCGTCCTCCCATGATAGAAAAGTAGGGCAGGCCTCCTCAAAACCTCATTTTTTCTTTGAGACAGAGTCTCACTATGTAGCTCTCGGTAGAGTATTGTGGCTTCACAGCTCACAGCCACCTCAAACTCTTGGGCTTAAGCGATTCTCTTGCCTCAGCTTCCCAAGTAGCTGGGCCTAAAGCACCTGCCACAATGCCCAGCTATTTTTTCGTTGCAGTTGTCATTGTTGTTTAGTTGGCCCAGGCTGGGTTTGAACCCACCAGCCTTGGTGTATGTGGCTGGTGCTGTAGCCTCTGAGCTATAGGCGCCAAGCTGGTTTTTTTTTTTTTTTTTTTTAAATAAGGGCACCGATCCCATCCTCTTTCTCATGGCCCCACCTTTTAATAACGCCACAATGGGGATTAGGTTTCAGTGTGTATCAGGACACAAACGTTCATACCACGGCAGAGATGGGTGAATTCTGGTCTCAGAACTGCAAGCCTTTGTGAAACAGAATGAGATGGGTCTATGTCCTGCGTCAGTTGTCACATTCAGCCTATCCTTGCCCTGTCTGGCCCATTCTTCCTCAATTCACCCCCACTACCATCCTCCCGAGTTCCCCTGCTCCTCTGCAGGGGCTGCGGTCAGGCCCCCCCCTTCCTCCCTCCATCCTGTGCTAGCTTTCTTAATCCGTGTCTACAAACATGTCACTCTCCTTTGCTATTTCAAAACTTTTATAAGTCCCTGCTGACTCCCTAATCTGAAATTCAAGAGCCCCAACCATCTAGTGGCAACATTTATTTCTAAAACCCCAGCTCCCTGTCCTTTTGGATTCCTCCCTCTGGCCCCTACCCTCTCTTCCTCCTACAGCAGCCCTGAAGGACCCTATTCATCCCTCTCCCTCTGCTGTCTGTAACACAACACACATCATCCTTGAAGACCAGTTGTATTGAAGATGCATCTTTAATTAAAAGCCCCAAGTGGACTTGAGCCAGTCCACATCTAGTTTCCTCCTATGCCCAGGTTCACTCCTGGGATATGATTTTGGGTGTGAGAATTAATTAGATGAAGAAAACCTGGGGTTATGGAGAAAAGTTTGAGGTCTGTTGCAAGAGGTCCGGAGAGAGTCTTTGGGTAAAGCTAGGTGTGGTGAGAGAAGGGAATAGAGAAGGTTCTAGTGGGTAAGGGCCAGTGACAGTTAGGGACTAGAGCCAAAGGGCTGGGGCATCCTGCCTGGCTTGATTCTAGCCCAAACAAAAGACATTCCTGGAGAGTGGCCTTTTATGCCCCCAAAGGCCACTCGCTGCTGTCATTTTCTCCCTTCCAATATCACCCCATGAAAAATGAGGCTAAGTAGTTTAAAATAATGTATATTTTTCCCTTTGAAAATTACATAATCATAAACTATAATGTTAACCTCAGTAACAGCAGTAGAGATCACACATCTGGCTTGAAAGAGCACTGATTCCTTGAGGGGTTTCACCCAGACCATCCACGCAGGGACCTCATATCACTGCAGCCAGGCAGGCGGGAGAATGATGACATTTTGCCATGAACTTAACTGAGCTTACAGAAAAAAGAAAATATAAACGCATCACCCGGATTTTGTATCTTACATTCGAAAATAGAATTTATGGCAGTTAAAGTCAAAGCTTCACTATCTTAAGTGTAATTAAGTATTATTGAAGGAATATTGTGCATTAAATTATTAAACAAAGTACTTCTGTTAGGAAATTATAATAAGGATGACATGCTGCCCACGGGGAAGGTTGGAGATAGTAAATAAGGTTTTCTTCAGGCTCAGTCTCTCAGTCCAGGTATGAAGGTTCAAGGCTTCAGGGTTTGAGACTTTTGGTCCAGACACTTCATGGAATCCTGCACCCACTTCTCCATGGGATCAGCACAGACTTCCCTGCCCAGTTTGGTCTTGAAGCTGTGGGGAGAGGAGCACAGTGAGATGAGCAACTTGAGGGTTCCACCCAGGAGCATGGCCTCTTAGCCCCTGGACCTGATCAACTCTTGCTCCTTAGGGCCTGAGTCCAGGAAAGGAGGGAGGTCAAGGCTGGCAGAAAGAGGCCTTAGGAGGATGCTGTGCTCCTGCTGTTCAGGTGACTCCGTCCAGGCTCTGGCTAAAGGTATTGGGACAATAATCTCACCAAGCACTTAGAAGGGCAGCCTAGAGTGGTGATGGGCCCCTTCTCGTGGGCTCAGTTTCTCTTTGGGGACGGGGCGGGGGAGCCCACTGGATTGATAGTGTATCCTCATCTGACTCACTTGGATGTGAACCCTGGCCTCTATTCCTTGTCCCTCAGAACTTTTGACTGGGGGTGGGGGGTTGCCAGGGTCATCCACTCACATCACAGCTTCCTGGGAACAATCGATGCTGGTGATTCTGTAGCTCTTCAGCCTCTGGATGGAGATCTTCCTTTTAACCACACTAAAGCAGCAGGCGATTGGAATGGAAGCAGGATCTGAAAGAAATTTTCCAAAGAACAAGACAGTTAGGGTACGTTGTAAATATGCATTTGTAAGCGAAGGAGGAGGAGGTAGGTGAAGACCTAGATGTCACCATCCCAAGTTTACCGCCACAGTCTGGATCCCAGAGATAAAACGTCACTGCTCATTAGTCTCATCTGTTGAACTAGGAGGCCCCTCATTGTCAGTGGGGTAGGGAAGAATCTGGAGTCACGAGGCGAACGCTTATCTACTAACCTAAAACTTCTCACGCTGGGAAAATAAGTTCTGAGACTTTGCTTCCCAGCCATTGTTCCCCATGAGCTTTAGAGACAACCTATATGCTGAGATTCCTCTGGGGCCTTATGCCCCTGACACAGCAGCTATTCTGGAAGCTACACTGGATCACAACTGACACTTGAAACTCCAAGCAATACCTCCTTCCTCTCCACTACTGCTTAGAGCGTCCTTTGCATACACAACGAGATGACCTCCACCTCCCCCAGTGATAGGAGGGCTTTTGCTGCAGTGGTTGCCCTGAATCTCTTCCCAAAGGCAGGGTCAGGAGCTCCTGGCTGCAGGGGCTCTGTCTCTGAATAGCGGACACAATGACTCTGAACAACTCTCTCCACCTTCTCCACCAGTGCAATGCAGACTCTGCAACCAGTCTGGGGTCACTCTCGCTGGGCTGCTAGTACCAGTGGTAGTTACAGTGCTAACCCTTAGGGAAGGAGGGGCCTCACCTGGCTGAGCGAGCCCCTGGGGGGTGAAGATAGCTGCTACCAGCAGCAGACCCAGGAGGGCTGCAGAGACCTTCATGCTGCAGGGCGGGGCAAGCTTCAGCCTGAGAACTGGAGGTTTCTGCGTCTGTCTCAGCCTCTTTGCTCTCTAGCAAGCAGCTCTGCCTGCCTTTTATAGGTGCCTGCCCAAGCTCACGGTCAAGGAAGGATGAAATAAGACCCTGGATGTGCTGATAAGGCACCAGATCCTGAGGTGATTTCCAGAAATGGGGAGAAGGAAGCAGTGCGGTTTCTATCTTTGGCTTAGACTTCTTGGAAAAAAGGGGGAAGGGAATGTGGTTGTGTCCAGCAGAGGGTAGGAAGTGATCTCACTGGACTATCATTTCTTTGAAATGGCAAATGCATTGCCATGGAAATGCATGGAAAAAGGGAAGCTGAAGTCACAGTGGAGTGAAGAGATCCTAGGGCCTGCCGCTCTGCGGGTGCCAGGAGGCCAGGGGTGGTCAAGTTCTAGGGCCTTGCCTGTGCTCTCTCCATCACACTCTGGTCACTGGGGTTCTCAGCCAGACAGGCTCCTTCATAACCCCAGACAGGTGGCTCCACAGAACCCGGAAAGCCTGACTGAATTCAGACATCCTCAAGTCTCAGTGCTCAGGAATCTTCATGCCATGGAGCATGAACTGGACAGAACGTGCTGGTATTATAATATTGTAAAGGTTCCCAAACATTTACACACTCAACTTTCTTTCCAAGTGCAATTATATGGCGAAGCCAATCTTTCATGCAGATTGAGGTGGAAGGGGGTCTTCTGCAAAAGACCTCCCAACTCCCGTTTTTCACATAGAGGGACAGGTGGGGCAAGGAGAGGAGGGGCCAGCTTTGATCACCACCAGCTTTGATCCATACTGCTGGCCACTACTCCCCTCCCTGCATGTGTCCACCATTACAGTATCATCATACAGAAGTTCTGCGCTCCCAGAATCCCCTGCATTCTTCCTTTACCCTTCCCCTCCCCCAGCAGGTCTCTGGCTACCACTGATTTCTGAACTCTCTCTGAATTTTGTCTTTTCTCAAATGCTGTAAATGTAGTCGGAATCGAACAGTATGCAGCCTTTTCAGACTGGCTTCTTCCACCAAGCAATATGTATTTAAGTTTTCTCCACGTCTTTTGGTGGTTTCACAGCTCATTTCTTGCTTTTTAAAATTAATTGTATTTTTTATCATTGTGAAACACACGTAATATAAAGTTTACCATCATCCCCATTTTGAAGTGTACAGTTCAGCAGCATTAAGTATGTCCATATTGTTGTGCAACCTATCTCCATAACTCTTTTCATCTTGTAAGCTGAAACTTTATGCAAATTAAACCTCCCCCCCTCCCCCCCAGTTCCCAGCAACCACTTCCTACCATCTGTCTCTAGGATTTTGAAGCCTTGCTTTTAATTTTTTGGTTATATATCCAGAAGTGAAATTGCTGCCTGCATTATATGGTAATTCTATTCTTTATGTTTTGAGGAACTACCATACCGTTTCCACAGTGGCTATACCATCTGACATTCCCACCAAAAAAGCACAAGCATTGGAATCTCTCCATGTTCCTACCAACACCTGTTAGTTTTTGGTCTGGGTAGTGGTCATCCAAATGGATGTGAAGTGCTATCTCATTGTAGTTTTGATTTTCAGTTCTCTAGTGATTAGTGATGTTGAACTCATCAACATATTACTTACTTGCATATCATCTTCGGAGAAATGGCTATTCAATTCCTTAGGCCATTTTGAATCAGCTTGTTTTTTGATGTTGTTGTCATTGAGTTTAGGAGTTCTCTCTATATTCTGGATATCAATCACTTATCAGATACATGAATGCAAGTATTTCCTCCCATTCTTTGGGTTGCCTTTTTATTCTGTTGATATTGTCTTTTGAATCACAACTTTTTAACATTTTCATGATGTCCAGTTGGTCCATTTTTTTCTTTTGTTGTCTGTGCTTTTTGTGTCACATCCAAGAAATCACTGCCAAATCCAAAGGTATGAAGGTTTTGCCCTGTGTTTTCTTTCCAAAGCTTTTTAGTTTTCAGACCTCTGTAGTTTGGTCTTTGATCTGTTTGAAATTAATTTTTGTATTCAGTGTTAAGTGTCCAACTTCATTTTTCTGTATTTGGATGTCTAGTTTTCCCAGCACCATTTGATGAAAAGACAACCAAATAGTCTTGGCACCCCTGACAAATTTTTTGACCATGTCTGTGAGATTTTATTTTTGGGCTCTTTGTTCTATTCCATTAATCTATATGTCTGTTTTAGTACCATACTGTTTTGATTATTGCAGGTTTGTAGTAGATTTTGAAATCAGAAAGAAGACAGCTTTGATATTTTTCAAGATTGCTTGAGCTATTGGGGTTCTCTGACATTCCAAATTAATTTTAAGATGGGCTTTTCTATTTTTTTTGCAAAAAATATCATTGGGATTTTGTTAGGGATTTGTATCTGTAGATTATTTTGGGGTGGTATTGACATCTTAACAATATACTTAGTATTTCAATAAATGAATATGGAACATGTTCCCATTTGTTTATGTCTTTGATTTCTTTCAGCAATGTTTTATAATTTTTAATTGCAAAATTCTTTCACCTTCTTGGCTCATGCTGCTAATATTGATTCTTCCTATCCATAAACATGGACTATCTCTTCATTTTTTATATCCTCTATAATCTTTCTTCAAAGTTTTGTAGCACTCCTCATTTACAAATATGTTGTACATATTTTCTTTTTTTGCAGTTTTTTTGGCTGGGGCTGGCTTTGAACCTGCCACCTCCAGTACATGGGGCTGGTGCCCGACTCCTTGAACCACAGGCACTGCCCCTGTTGTACACATTTTCCTGGATTAATTGCTAAGTACATCATTTTTTGGTGCTAAAATAAACAGGAGTATGTCAGTAATATCAAATTCCAATTGTTCATTGTTAATATATCAGAAATTGATTAAATTTTACTTATTAACCTTGTATCCTGTAGCTTTCCTATAATTGTCTATTAGTTGCAGGATTTTTTGTTGTTGATGTTTCAATATTTTCTACATAGATAATCATGTATTCTGCAAACAAAGAGCTTTTTTTCTTTCTTCCTAATCTGTATATCTTTTTATTTACTTGTCTCATTGTATTAGCTAGGACTACCAGTATTATTGAATTGAAATGTGAGAGGAAACATCTTTGCATTGATTTCAGTCTTAGGAGAAAAACACCTAGTTTCTCATAGTAAGTAAGTATGATGTTAGCTGCAGGTCTTTTGTAGATATTTGTTATTAAGTCGAGGAAGGATTTCTCTATTCCTACTTTGTTGAGAGTGAATCATGAATGGATATTGAATGTTGTCAAATGCTTTTTCAAACATCTACTGATATAAGATATTTTTTTTCTTTAGCTATTTCTATGATGGGTCACACTAATTAATTTTTGAATGTTGAACCAACCTTCCATACGTGGAATAAATCTCTCTTGGTTGTGGAGCATTCTTTTTGCACATTGTTGGATTCTATTTGCTAATATGTTGTTAAGAATGTTTGCATCTATGTTTACGAGTTAGGTCTGCAGTTTTCTTCTGTTTTAATGACCTTACCTGGTTTTGGTGTCAGGGTTATACTGGTCTCATGAATGAATTAGGAAGGGGCCTCTCTACTTCTGTAGTCTGGAACAAATTGTAGAGAATTGGTGTCATTTGTTGCTTAAATGTCTGATATAATTCACAAGTGAAACCACATAAGTGGGCTTGGTGCTTTCTGTTTTGAATGTTTTTAACTATTTATGTAATTTTAAGTATAGATAGATTTCTTCAGATTAACTATTTTTTCCTTTGTAAGCTTTGGTAGAGTGCATCTTTTAAGGAATTGGTTTATTTTCTCTAGGTTACCAAATCGGTGGACACAGAGTTCTTCATAATATTTGTTTTCCCTGTAACATCCATGGAGTCAGTAGTGATGACCTCTCTTTCGTTTCTTATATTAGTGATTTGTGTCTTTTTTCTTGGTGTTCCTAGCAAGCGTTTGTCAGTTTTTACTTCTCTTTTCCTATTCTTATTGCTCAAAGAATTGACATTGGTTTTATTGATTTTCTCTGTTGCTTTCCTATTTTCATCATCATTGATTTCTACTCTAATTTTTCTTTCTTTTCTTCTGCCTGCTTTAGGCTTGTATTGCTCTTCTTTTGCTAGTCTTTTAGAGTAGGAGCTTGGATTATTAATTTTTGATCTTTCTTCTTTTCTAATAGTTGCATTCAATGCTGTAAACTTTCTTCAAAGCACTGCTTTTTCTATATCCCTCCAAATTTTGATAAGTTGTATTTTCCTTTTTATTTAATCCATGATATTTTAAAATTTCTCTTTAATATTTTTCTTTGACTCATGTGTTATTTAGAGATATGTCATTTAATCTCCAAGTATGTTGGGATTGTCTGGCCATCTTTTTATCATTGATTTCTAGTTTAATTCCATTATTGTCTGAGAACAAGATGTCCATTCTTTTAAACTTGTTTATGTCCAAGAATGTGGTATATTTTGATGAATGTTCCATGTGAGTTTGGGAAAAATTCATATTTTGTTTTTTGTTGGATAAAATATTTACAAGATGTCAATTAAATCCAGATAATTGATGGTGCTGTTCAATTGGTTTATATCCTTACTGATTTTTCTGACATGCTGAAATCTTCAACTATAATAATAGATTTGATATCAGTCATTAATTTTGGAACATTCTTGGCAATTAATGCCTCAAATATTTCTTCTGTTCCTTTCTCCTTTCTTTTCCTTTCAGGACTCTCAATGTGTAAAAATTATGTCTTTACAATTATCCTGTAGTTCTTGAATATTCTGCTCCTTTTCTCTTCATTTTATTTTCCTTTTACATTTCCATTTGTGAAGTTCCTATTGACATATCTTCAGGCTCACAGATTCTTTCCTTGGCTCTTTCCATTCTTAGTAAATCCATGAAAGACATTGTTTATTTCTGTCCCGCTGTTTTTAAGTTCTGACATTTCTTTTGGTTATGAGAATTTTCATCTGTCTCTTTGTATTACTCATTTGTTTTTAAAGTCCATCTGCTTTTTC